AATAAAAATTTCTTGTGTTCATATGTGCACAAATTTTTTTTTGCAGATCATAAGATCGACGAATTTCCAACACTGGTTTGAATTTTGCATTTTTATAGTGCAGATCATCAAAATAACGTTGTACAAGGGACATGCCGCCTAATTACTAATACTAATACTAATATTGACACACGGACATGCCCCGGATAATGTCAAAGAAACACTGTAAAAAATGTTCGCGTAACAATTTGTCAAGCGGATGTACCCGCTCATTTACTTAAATATCCTGGACATCCGGTACTAGTAATATAAACCACAAGTTAACGTAAGAAAATGTCTTTACCATCAACATATTATTAGAACCAATATTAAATTAAACCAAAGCAATTAAAAAACCTTTTGTAAAGCATATGTTGAAAAATCAGAAGAAGAAAAAATGGTTTCCAAGCAAAAAAATTCGAATAAATCCAGCATCTAAAGAAATGTATAATTTAACAAATATGAGGCGGAAAATTAGGTGAAACTTAATCAATTACAATTGTTTAAATGTTTCGCACAAATGTTAAAACAAGATCAGTAAATTATTATAAATCACTTTTTGACCAAGCGGAATTAATTAATTAATTAATTAATCAACCGGGTAATTAAATAATCCTATATTAATAATCCAGAGTCTTGCTTGAGAATGAAGGCAGAAAGTTAATATATATAAATTTATTTCCTTTACAAATAAACATTCTCATAATAAAATAATTCTTTTTTGTTTAACACTTTTGTGGTCTGAAATTAAACGGTAGGGTTTAATTGTCCGTTGGCTATCAGGGTGGCATAGAACTCCAAGGTTTTGTTATATGCTATGGTAGAAAGCAATGATTTTGGTTATTGGCTTCATATAAGCAAAGGTTTTGTTTTGGGTATTTGCTATAGTAAAGAAAGCAAGCGTTTAATTTTTAAGCGTAAGCGTTCTTGTTTGATTTTTGTAATTGTTAAAACTTAACTTATTGGCAAAAGTATTAAGTGTCAACAGTAATTGCTGATTGACCACTTATACAAAGAGCCAACAGTTATTAACCAAAGTCATTATCACATATTGATTATTGTGTTAAAGAAATTGTTGTAAATGTTCGGATGACTTCAATCAGCCCAATGAAAGTAAAGGCAAAGTAAATAAAAAAGAACTTTATAGGAGTATTTGTTGTTTCGTAGTAATTTGTTGTTAATTGTACCATAAAGTGTGCTTACAGATTTACCAAAGCTTTCTAGGTACAAGAAAGAGACAACAAGTAGGATAATTTCGTGAAATAAATAAATTAATTGACGAGTTAGCTAAAAAGCTAACTCGAAACTCGGCCATAACCAAGGTTGACTAAAAAGCTACTTTTGTATTATTTACAAGCAAATTTTATATTTTATTTAGGAATGTCCAGGACATTTAAAGTGGCAGACATGTACACGGACAGTCTGGGATGTATCCGTGTCTTTATCCACCGGTAATCCTGGTATAAAGACATCAAAAATCATGCAACTTCAAAACTAAGGCTTTTTTTTGTTAAAAAAACTTCATTTTGAGCCTTAGTGGACAAATAATGAAAACATATACTCCCCGATTAAGCACAATATATACAAATTAGATCGTAATATAATTTGTGCTGCGCATGAAACTATTGGATTATATTATAAATTTGATTTGGCAAATTTATCATATACTTTTATAAAACTTTAAAATCTTCTCTATATCAAAATTTAGCAGATGCGGCTAATTTGTTAAGTTTAAATTTCGTATCCACGACACTAACGCCAATACTAATATGGGATATCTAAACGATCAAAAAAAGGGGGTTCGAATTACAGGTCTTTCTAAGATTTAGTATGTCATATGAACAGCAAGTAGTGGTAGCTTGAATGATTTCTGGGCCAACCAGGTCACTGCACAACTATAAATGAACGGGTATTACGCAGCAAATCTCAATTATATTTGTCATCTCAGGTCCATTTTAAAAGCTATGAGTATAAAGTTTGTCTGAACATCTGGTATCTTATTATCTTTAAAAAATAGGCATTAAAAAAAATGATTGATGTAGTGCAGGGCATCTATAACAGTCAATGATTATTACATGTCTTTAAAGGCCTATAACTCCTTATTAAAGAGAAAAAAAAAAAAGAAAACCGATAAAGTTAAAGCTAAAGAGCTGAGCTTCATTTCCATTGGTTTATTTTTTCTTTTTATATGGTTTCAAAGTTGGACCATTTTATATGTAAATTGTAAAATATCCGGAATCATCTTCTCTTGTGATCGGCCTAAAATTTTTTTCGCGATACAGAAAATCTTTCCAATTAAGAAACCCGATTACTTAATTAGAAAAATCTGAAGTTTTTAAATTTCGGACCGTGACATTTATAGATGACTTGAACCTTAGTAATAGTGTTACCTTTATATATTACGTGTAATCCTTCTTAATTGGGATTCTACGATCTCGCACGCATGAGCATGATGGAAGTTCGAATATACATGCAGCCCAAAGTACTTGACACTGTCATAAAGGGTTACACATGTCATAAAGGGGTGTTACACTTATGTTTTTAATTTTTAATTCTATAGAGCGGATATCCGTTATCTGTTCATCCGTCATTTATTACAAAAAAAATCAATCCGTCATCCGTTAATTGCTCAAAAAATACATCCGTCGAATTTAAACGGATTATCCGGATTGATCATCCACGGATCGCATCTCTAACTTTTTATATACCATCAAAATTGGACCCGTTGAATTCACCAAACCAATTTGGGCTACATGTATAATCTCGAAATTATGTTGTGTGACTATATAATTTTAAAGTAAGATTTGTATATGTAAAATCACGTTTTCAATTGACAAACAAATTATACATAATAATAATAATAATATTCAAATAAACTTTATAATTATTTGTAAAATAGAAAAAAAATTGTAGTTTCTACCTTGGCCATATAAATAACTTCAATATCCATATACTTTTACCAGAGGCGAGGAAAATCAAATAGTAACTAAAGAAAATTCATTTACATAATAATATTCAAATAAATTTCGTAATTGTATGTATAATAAGAAAAAAATCATAGTTACTACTAGATAACTTCAATACCCACAGAGTCTTATTAGAAGCAAAGTCTATATAACATAGCAATTCCTTACCTTACTAGAATTCAAAAGATATTATTACTTTTAGAGAGATTCTATGGATATGTAGGTTTACTCTCTATTACTGAAACATTTAATACAATTCAAATTGAACGTTCATGAAGTTTATTGGAGATGAAGACTTTTTATATCATAGTTTCCTACCCTATTATTAAACTATTTTTTATATATAATTTAATTGTAGATAAGTAATTTCTTATTCTATAATGAATAAAGGCTATTGTTTATATTACAAAT